TTTCATTTTTTCTAGCTATGTTAATAGTCTGCTCTTCACAAAGAATCAGAATAGCACAGTACAATCCAATTCATTTATTAAGAGAGTCAAATGCATGCTAATCTACTGTTATGTTGATGACTTTAATGACTTAATTATTACACTAACCATGAGTGTGGCTAAAAAAACAACTGTTCACACAATGGTCTATTTTATGTCATTCAGGCAAAATGTTATTTTCCTCTAGGACTATATTTTCCTCTAGGACTAATAATTGACTTGCAAAATTTTGGAAGAATGAAGACAGCATCCAGTGGGCCGGGCATGGTGGCTCACGCCTGTAATCCCAGCACTTTGGGAGGCCGAGGCAGGTGGATCACCTGAGGTCAGGAGTTTGAGACCAGTCTGGTTAACATGATGAAACCTCATCTCTACTAAAAATACAAAAATTAGCTGGGCATGGTGGTGTGCAGCTGTAATCCCAGCTATTTGGGAGGCTGAGGCAGGAAAACTGCTTGAACCTGGGAGGCAGAGGTTGCAGTGAGCCAAGATCATGGCACTGCACTCCAGCCTAGGCAACAGAGTGAGACTCCGTCTCACAAAAAAACAAACAAAACATCATTCAATGAAAAAGTCATTAGATTCCTTCATAGTCTACATACACATTTTTTGCATAATAAAAATTACACAGTCTTTTGAAAAATAAAAGATGATATAAAATAATTTTAGTTTCCACATACATGCTTTAGTTCATAAAATACTTTTTTAAGAAAAAATAAATTATATTCTTTTATTCTAATTCTCATTATTTTGCATTAGGGTTGGGAGAAAAGTGATGCTAGCGTTTCCGTATAGAAATGTATATTAGCTCATCTAATTTATATACATTAAAAAAGTAAACTAAAAATCAAGATTTTCTTTCTTCTAAAAAACTATTTTCATAATTTTGAATAGAGCAAAATATATTTTCCAACTGTTAAGCTGTATTAAAACTTACAAGTGAGGTGCAATAAAAATGATACATCTATGCCAAATCCTACATTTAAATCAAGTCTACTTTTGAACCTCCAAATTTAGAATGAGAGTAAATACATCTACTTCTTATTGATAAGAAGCCTAATTGTCAAAGTAATTAGTGCTACATCTATTGCTTTATTCTCACTTTCATCATCATCATTCAGTTAATGTAAAGAAATCGAATTCATTTAAGGCTCAATAATCTCTTTTCTCCCATTTGTGCCATGGAATTTGATTTTATGAATCAGAGGAGAGAAAGAAAGTCCCCTGCCTCCAGTGCACTGATTAACATATAGGTTAACATATTAGGTTCCTGTATCAGGAATCAAAATCTAGAGGAATGATTATGCTAAAATGGAGTTTCCAATAACTGCCAGTAAAGCAGACTGGCGGAGCTCTGTCCCATCGCTTTTGGACATTTGTGACATACTCTGACCTTAGCAAATACGTTTCAGTGGCGGTATACATGCAGTTATCCCCGGCTCTCAGTTTCAACTGAGGGAGCACACAGAGACAAGGCTAGAGCAGTACCTGCTGATGCTGCAGCATGCATGGCTATTATAAAATTCCTTTGAGCTGTTTGTGGCTATCTTTGAAAACAGATTTGACACTTATTCAGCGATCCTTTGGATTATTAAGCTTGCAAATTAAGCTTTGGCAAATGCTGTGTACTAGTTATGATGGGCAAAAATGTCATGGAAGAAGGAAAAGTTATATTTTGTTCTTCCTTCCTCCTTTTAATCTGCGAGAATGGGAGGTATGAGTGATCTCACTGGAAGAGGTGTAAGACCTACAGCACTCATGATCATGTTCAAGCAACTCCACTGGATCCCAGCACATAGGACTCAGTTTAATAAGGAGTTTCCTTATAATGAGGCATTATTACAGTAGGTACATTTGTTAATGTGATTTTTTTTTTTTTCTCCTCTGGCTCTTTGCTGAATAACTTAGGTAAAAAGAAAACCTGTTTGCCTAGATTTTCTGTATTTTACTAGTCTGTGTGGACTCCCTTAATCTGACATTAAAACAAGTGATCTTATCATCTGGAGCCTAAAGGTGGATTTAAACGAGTAATTCCTGAAGCACTGTAGTCATGGAAAACAAGATTCTGCTGCTGGGAGGAGAGAGCTAGCCCTCATCTCACGGGCTGCACTGGATTAGAGTTCTGTTGCAGGCGGCGTTCAGCTCTTTTCTGTTTGCCATGTCCTTGCAGTGCTGTCCTCTTCTACGTATTACTGATACTTATGAGATCTTCTTTATTCCATCTGATAATTTACAACTGCATTTTCCACATTGGTGAGATCAATTCCATTAGTGCTTGAAAAGTAATCTCCTGATGTTGCTGCCACTGGGTGGCTGGCTTGTTTTAATTATGCCAGCATATCTTCACTCTCACAAAATTGAAAGGATGTCAAGATATTTTCTGCCCACCTCAAAAGAGTCTGAGCCGTCGCCTAAGATTATAATTCCCCCAAAGTTGGGAGAAGGTATTCTTAATTGTGTGTCCTCAAAACACTTAGTATTTTGACATGTTTAAACTACTAAATAATAATTGCCTATCCATGACAATAACATCTTTAAAATACATATGCAGTAGCATTTGACGGTTTCCAAATACCTTGGGCATGTTAAAGAGTTTCTGCTTCCTAAGAATCTCTTGCTATAGGGAAGATAATATGAATAATCCTCATTTTACAGGTGGGGGAAACTGCAGTGCAAAAAAAAAGTTAAATCACTCAATTTCTCAGTGAATAAATGGCAGACTAGGGTCAGGATCCCAGGTCCTGTGCCACGGCATTTTGTGATATTTTCACTACACCTTCAGGCTCTTTATAACAGAACCCTGTTGGGGTACACAGACATTTAAAAAAGCTGGCTATGTAAGAATTTCGCGGTCTGAGTCTTTCCAAGTCCTTTCATTCTAGTTCCATCAGTGAAAGTTCAGTTTTATGGCAATCAGTTGCTCCTTCCCCATGACTCCCCTTTGTGAGCTGAATCATCTTTCCGAAACCCTAAGGGCATCTAACTCTTTTGATTATTTCAGAACTTTATGGTAATTTTCTTATTCACTTCCTTGATAAAAAACTATTTTTATCAATCTTATTTTACATGTCAAAATTGAATGTTCTCACAGACTACAGTAATAATTCCTTGAAGAATGTGATAGTACCCTTGAGCCCTCTCTCTTAAAAATATATATCTTTCTCCACATATATCTAAAGCTGGATCAGTGTCATCATCAACACACACTCATATGCACACACATACATTTAGGGCAACACCGAATTCTCATAGGACTTTCCACTGCACTTTCCTCACAACCCATAATCTAACAACTCACTCTTTGCAATCCCTGCTCTTTTCAGCGATTTTATGCTGTGATCTTTGGGATATCACTTTTATGTATAATATGGCAGCTTACAAAGCTGAGTGCTGGCATCACTCTGAGAGGTGGGAAAACAGTAGAAAGATGGAAGGCCTAGCGGTACCATAGAGATTCTCATGCCTGACTTCTATCTAAACTTTTGAAAAGTGAGAGAATTTAATGACATAAGAACGTTAACAGCTATGGTAAAGTCATGTATTTGTTAGGTACCTCCTAGAATTAGGAATGGTAGATGTGGTTTTGAACCTACTATATGGCCATAAATTAAATAATGAATTCCTCTGAATCTAGAAACTTATTAAATTCTACATATTTTAAAGAATTTAAACGTAGTAGTTTAAAGCAACATTCTAACATTCTATTTGTGTGAACACCACAATGTAAAAATTAGTTATGTCATATAATGCTTCCTTCAGTAATATAAAAAAATCCAGAGAATTTTTCAGTCTTCTATTCACCACATGAAAGAAAAGAAAGATACATTTTTCATTGACTCCTTTAAGGTGTTTTAAATTAAGCTTCATTTGCTAGTCCATAATGTAGAAATCTGTTTAATATAAAATGTTATGGAGAAAACAAGAACAGAAGGAGAGTGAATTGTTGCATAAAGAATAGAAATGTTCATAATTGAAAGAAAAATAACAAACTGCCTTCTGCTCATTTCTTGAGAAATAGTTTTGAATCCTATTAATATTTAATTTTTGCCAATTGTCCCCTAAATATCCTTTACTATTAGTTTTTCCAAAACACAATTTAGTCCATACCACACATTATATCTGGTCAAGCATAGTCCCCTCTCCCTAATCCCTTTCCTTCATGCTTTTATTCCATGTTGCTTATTTGAAGAGTTGTTTATTTGAACAAAAACATTAGTAGAAGAATAAGAGAGTAAATTAAAATAGCAGGAAATATGTTGAGAAACTTACTTACCAAAAGAGAATAGGGACGCCCATTATGTCCAAAAGCCTCAGAAAAAAAGTCAGTGCTGTGGTCCAGTCTCTGATGCCCTCCGTATTCCGCTGCATCTGAATCTAGTACAATTTTGAATGTACGGCTTTTAAGGAATTCACAACAGTTGAGGAGTTGAATGAGACATTGTAAAATACGTGCGGAGAGAGCGATTTAAAAGTGAGTTTTTGAGCAGTGTTAAATCATACTTTGTGCTAAGCACTAATTTCTTCTTTTATAGTTCTATGTTTGAAAGGGGCTTTACAGGCTATCTACTGCACACGCCCATGAGATCCCTGTTATACTCCCATCACGACTCATCAAGTGATCACCCAGCCTGGGACCTAATCTACTTTTCTCTTCAAGCAACCTACTCCACTTGTCATAAATTCTTCTCCATATTGAAGAGAAATTTTGCTCTGTGAGATTATATTATTTCTACCAAGACAAGTCATAAATAATAAGTTCAACATGTAGTCGCCTTTTAAATATTTACTAATAGTTATACTATCTCCAAGTGTCTGCTAGATATATTACTAAATACATACAGTCAGTCCTCCATATCTGTGGATTTTGCATCTGTGAATTCAATCAACTTCAGATAAAAAAATATTCAAAAAAGGAAATGCCTCGTTGCATCTGTACTGAACATCTGGTTTTTCACAATAAGTTGTTAGATGGTATTAGCATATTTACAGCAAAATTAATAAAAGCTATCATTATGTTCAAATTTATTAGGCTCAAAGTATCTAGAAATGGTACTTGATACAAAAATCTACAACGATATATGCATTGGTATCTTAGAAATCTTAAGTTTCTTCTAGCCTTAGTAGAAATGCAGATAGTTTAAGTGCTTTTTGTTTTGATTTCCTGGAAAATGTATCATTAATCTCAGAAATGTTAGTATATTACCATTACTGCAAAAATTATCACATTAATTATGACATTGAGCAAGGAACAATGAGCTATCATTGTCAACCCTTGAAAATCTTTGTCTAAGTCAGAAGTGAAGATGGACATGCTACGGAAACTCAGAAGTGAAGATGGACATGCTACAGAAACTCGGAAGTGAAGATGGACATGCTACAGAAACTTCTGCTAGTAGTGTTCCCTCCATTTTAGTGAATCCAGGCCAGCCTTCTCTAATTCAAACTGAAACTGATAATCAGAATATTACTGTACTGAGAAAGAAAGACTGAGATTCAAATGATGACTACTAGGCACAGGGACATTTAAAGTCACTCAGTATAGCTGAACATGATTTGAGCCTACCAATACATTTAATGCTGAAATATGGATAACGAAAATAAATTATCAAAGACATGGAAAATAATGAAATACTGTGGAATAAAAAAAAAACTATTCAAATAGTTTAGCTTTTGTTCTTCATTTCAGTTCACTAAATACTGGGATAAATCTTCCGAAAACTAAAACAGTACAGTTCAGAGAGTAATGTTCTAGAATACTTTAAAAACAACTGAATTAAAATATCAATTAATGAATTACTGGTTGACAACATAGGCTTTTGATAGCAGTGGCTAAATAAGGCAAGCATATCATCAAAAGCAACGGTTCCCAACCTGACTGGCAGTCCTGTCATTGTAAGTTCTCACTGACTGAGTAGTTACGTGATTGTAAGGGGCTGGGAATTTATATACGATTAGGCGTTGTCTAAAGACTAAATTATGTTATTATACACATTTGACACTGTGTTTCAAAGAATGTACATGTTTTTACTATTAAAATGCAGATTATATTTTTCCCTTCTTTGTGTCCATGTGTACTCAATGTTTAGCTCACATTTGTGAGAACATGAGGTATTTGGTTTTCCATCCCTGCGTTAATTCAACAGACACCAGGGCCTACTTGAGGGCAGAAGATGGGCAGAGGGTGAGGATGGAAAAACTACCCATCAGGTACTATACTTATTACCTGGGTGACAAAATCATCTGTGCACCAAACCCCCACGACACGCAGTTTACCCACTAACAAACCTGCACATGTATCCCCTGAACCTAAAAGTTAAAAAGAAAAAAAAAAGAAAAGAAACCATTAGGTCCAAACATTTAATGTGCCTTTTACACAATGAATGATCAATTATGGGAATGTGACAAGACACAAGAGCTTGTGCTGGGGGCAGTAAATTGTGGGAACACAATGAGGATATATATGGGGGAAATTGATGGAAGACAGGGTTATTTTAGTAGGTTTGTTTGTACAGGTCTATTTCGACTTCCCAGTCTCTGGTGATGAGAATGTTCTATTCCTGACACACGAAAGACACCTTTTTCACGAGCAATTTTATGATTTGCTTTTTGGTAGAAAGGAGGAGATCAAAGAGCTCTTTCTGCATCTGTTGTTTCTCAAACAGATTCAGCTCAAAATAATCAATAAGCCAAAGTGGCATATTTTGGGGTAGCACGTTCTGAACCCCTTCCTAATCAAATTCAACTTCTCACTAACACTAGAGATGACTATTTCCTCCTATGAACACTTTCATTTTAGTCACCTGAATTATAATTTTTAAAATGTTATAGGAAAATTATTCAAGGTTGCAAAACTAAAAACAATAATTCCCTCATTTACTTAGGGGCTTTTTTTTTTTTTTTTTTTTTGAGACAGGGTCTGGCTATCACCCAGGCTGCAGTGTAGTGGCGTGATCTTGGCTCACTGAAACCTCTGCCTCCCGGGCTCAAGCAGTTTGTCCCACCTCAGCCTCTCAAGTAGTTGAGACCACAGGCACATGCCACCAGACTGATTTATATATTTTTTGTAGCAGTGGGGTTTCACCATGTCGCCCAGGCTGGTCTCGAACTCTTGAGCTCAAGCAATCTGCCCACCTCAGCCTCTTAAAGTGCTGGGATTAGTGAGCTACCATGCCTAGCATGCCTTTTTTTTTTTTTTTCTTAATAAAGGAGAATGTTCTCAACAAAATTATTTTTCTGAAACAGAATTAAATAATATTTAATCATTATTTTCAATGTTACAGTAAAATAAAAATCATGTGTCCATCATTTTACATGCTTTTCCCACAATAAAGTACAGACTGAGCTTCTCACACCAAAAAATGCAATTTTAAAGTCACAAAATTTAATAGTTTTTGTGTATACTTTTCTCAAAGGACAGTAAAAGAACAATTGCTATATAAGGATTCATTTCTCTTTGACACTGAAAGAGATTGTCATATTGAAAATGTTAGAATCTACTTACTTTATATAATTGGTAGCCATACAGGAAAAGCTTATAAAAGCCATAGAGAAAGTTTCAAAACATCGGTTTAGACATGTTTCTCTGGCCTATAATTTAAAGAAAAAATTTTTCTGTGTCCAGTCGTGCAATCACCCAGTTCTGTGTCTACATTACCCAGGGAAAACAATAGCTTCCTTTAGAAAATGTGGCCTTTAAAATCCAGAAATTTCTACCAATTTAAACACTAAATGAGAGGTAATGCGTGTGAAAGAGCTTTATAATCATGAATTGCTGCCATATATTATTCAAGTAACAGGAAACTACATGTTTTAGGAATACTGCTTAGAATTAGAACAAGCCTTTTCAAAGAGATTATCTGAGCAACTGATTTGTTTGTTTTTCATGTTTTCTCTTTTGGGTACTCCCTCACTCTCTCATGTGTATGCACATACACACAGATGCACACACATGTACATACATGATACGGGACACACACAGCACCACAATTCCTACATCGTCCTTTTTCTGTGAAAATTTACCTCTGAAAACATGACTCAAAGCCAATTTATACTTATTTTCAACTACCATCATTATATGGTTTCCAATACATAGCACACAGGATAAATTTAGCAGGACACCTTAAAAGGTCATCTGTTATTCATAGCTACCTCCATATTCCTAGCAGAGGACCGTCTCATAATAGGTTCCCAATAAAACTTGGAAACTGATATTCAGAATGACAACACTGACTTACCAAGAAAAGCCAAATTACATATATTGTTTTTTATAACTGAGGAAAGTACAATAAATTGTCTTTACTCCCCCATTCATTTACTAAATACATACAATGTACAAGATATTGTGCAAGAAACAAAAATAACTAAGATACAGTCTTCATTTACATGTGGCTTACAGCCTGTAAAGGGAGATTAGGCATACATATGAACCTGCACAAATAGAGCAAAAAGCAATATGCAATGAAAGGGAGAGTCAAGGAAGAAAACTATGATGGACAAGCCGTATATGAAGACTTTTGAAGGCTGGGCTAGGGTCTTAAGACTTATAACTGGATCCTTTCCTTACTCCTTACACGAAAATTAATTCAAGATGGATTAGAGACTTAAATGTTAGACCTAATACCATAAAAATCCTAGAGGAAAACCTAGGTAGTACCATTCAGGACATAGGCATGGGCAGAGACTTCATGTCTAAAACACCAAAAGCAACAGCAGCAAAAGCCAAAATTGACAAATGGGATCTCATTAAACTAAAGAGCTTCTGCACAGCAAAAGAAACTACCATCAGAGTGAACAGGCAACCTACAGAATGGGAGAAAATTTTTGCAATCTACTCATCTGACAAAGGGCTAATATCCAGAACCTACAAAGAACTCCAACAAATTTACAAGAAAAAAACAAACAACCCCATCAAAAAGTGGGCAAAGGATATGAACAGACATTTCTCAAAAGAAGACATTCATACAGCCAACAGACACATGAAAAAATGCTCGTCATCACTGGCCATCAGAGAAATGCAAATCAAAACCACAATGAGATACCATCTCACACCAGTTAGAATGGCGATCATTCAAAAGTCAGGAAACAACAGGTGCTGGAGAGGATGTGGAGAAATAGGAACACTTTTACACTGTTGGTGGGATTGTAAACTAGTTCAACCATTATGGAAAACAGTATGGCGATTCCTCAAGGATCTAGAACTAGATGTACCATATGACCCAGCCATCCCATTACTGGGTATATACCCAAAGGATTCTAAATCATGCTGCTATAAAGACACATGCACACGTATGTTTATTGCGGCACTATTCACAATAGCAAAGACTTGGAATCAACCCAAATGTCCATCAGTGACAGACTGGATTAAGAAAATGTGGCACATATACACCATGGAATACTATGCAGCCATAAAAAAGGATGAGTTTGTGTCCTTTGTAGGGACATGGATGCAGCTGGAAACCATCATTCTTAGCAAACTATCACAAGAACAGAAAACCAAACACCGCATGTTCTCACT